GAACAGAGAGAACTGTAGTAATGGATAGATCCAAAGGAGAACCTGTTATTAGTGTGAAAACATCAACTGCATCAAAAGACAGAGTAAGTAATGTTCCTGCATGGGAAACATCTTTCAGTTTTCCTTAAAAACAAATACTGAATCCTGCCAAGCTACATGTAACCCACGCTTGTCTTACTGATTTGTCCAATTAGAGTTTCTATAACGTGGATTTAGATCTTAATTAGTAAAATACTTTCATACAGCTGATAACTATATTCAGCAATGAAATCCTGCCAAACAAATGTGGGAAGGTGTTAGTGTGTTAATATATGGGGTGTCTGTAATGTTAATAAAAACTAGCTTTTTTGAAAAATGCAGAGACCAAGCTTTGAGACATTATATGTACGAATGGAAACGGAGCTTAGAGTATTGTTTGTGATAGTTGTCCTTTTGTAAATGCACTCCATTAAGTTTCTCTACTTCAATATTAAATACAGAGCATTAAGAGCCAGGATCGCAAATCGGAGAGCAGAGAGAGACAAGGCATTGTGCCGTTTGACAAAATCAAAGCGCAGCGAAAAATGAGGGAGGCAGAGCAGCGCCGGTAAGAGCAACAGTGAAATTGTTTGATGTTTTTTTTTCTGAGAATGAATATAATTTGATTAAAATGGCGAAGAGAAAAAGAGGGGTTCGATTTGTTTTTTACTTGTAATTTGTTATAGTTTTGTGGTTCACATATCTGTTGAATTGGGAAAGCTCCAATTATTGATTCTGTTAGTACTAAGCTTGAAATTGGGGGAAAAAAAATTGAAGTTTGTTTTTTGTTCTTTTTCCATTTTGTAGATTTTGCTATTTAGATTAATTTAAGTAATCCTGCTCTCCTTAGCTGAGCATGAATTATAGTAGATGTGAAACAATAGTTCTAAACTTGCCACACTCAAATATATAGGAAAGGATCAGGAGAAAAGTTGTCTTTCGGTGAATAAGACCTTGTCTTTCTTGTCTTAGCATTCAAAGTCTCCATAGTGTTTGAAATAAAACAAGATGAATGTTTTTGTATTTAAATGCATTATGTCCATAGAGAAATCGTGGGATTTTCCAGCAACCCTTCAAAGTTTCTACATTGTATCTTTTTAGTTAATAACTTAATTCAGGTATTTAATTATTCTTGGTGGGGTTTTATTTCTGTTTTCATGATGTTTAATACAGGATAAAGGTGGTAATAGCCATCCTTCAAATTCCTTGCTAAAACTGTGACCTGAATTCTATGTTGAAACATTTTCCACACATTATGAAACTTTATTATTTACCTAAAATAAGTTGAATTGGATAGGGGGAAAATGCTTTAATCATTCTTACTGGAGAGGAAAAAGTTTCTCTCTCATAGGTAGATTTCTTAGCCTTAGTGGAGTCATATTATTCAGCATACCTTCTGGCTCCTTCAGAGTTGGATATTTTACTTGAATAGAAGGAATGAGCTTGGGGCATTTGGATTCAAATTCTCTTGACCATACAGGATTATTTGCCCCCACAGGCTGGTTTTGTGGGAGTAATATGATTGGTCTCTAAATACAAGTAAATCATGTGTACGCTGAGTGTTTTCCCTCCGTGCCTTTCCTTCCACTCACCCCCCAGGTATAATTTCAAGGAGGTGACGCAAGTTCACAGTCACTGTGGTTTTAATTTTTAATACTTTTTTTTTTAATTTCCTTTATTTGTTGAAGTACTAGATCTACAACCTTTTTGTTTCTGTTAAAACAGCACACGTGAGCGTCGGGAGAGACAGCAACACCTGCAGACCATCCGGGAACGAGAAGAAAGGGAGAGGCTTGAAATTGCTCGTGAGAGACTGGAAATTGAAAGGCAGCGTCTTGAACGAGAACGGATGGAAAGAGAAAGACTGGAAAGAGAACGAATGCACATAGAGCATGAAAGGAGAAGAGAACAAGATCGCATTCAGCGAGAAAGAGAAGAGCTGCGACGGCAGCACGAGCAACTGCGCTATGAACAAGAACGCCGGTCTGCAATGAGAAGACCGTATGACATAGATGGCAGGTAAAGCCAGCAAATACAAATGATGCAAGTGGAAAACGTTGCTGCCAGGTTCTGTCTCATCAGCCTGTGCTATTAAAAGCTATCCATATTCTCTCAGCTTCCATTAATCAGCAGTTGTTGATTGCATTGAGATGACCATGTTTAATAGCCCCAGTCAAACTATCCTCTCTGAGGTTTTTCATCTCCCTTTTGAACTTAATTACCCCTCTTCTGGTTTGCACAGTCTGGAAGGAGGGAACAATATCAGAAGTCATTATCTTGACTAAAATGAGTATGTTCTTTCTTTCAGGAGAGATGATCCGTACTGGCCAGAGGCAAAACGAATGGCAATGAATGATAGGTACCATTCAGATTTCAGTCGCCAGGATCGCTTCCATGACTTCGATCACAGGGATCGTGGCCGTTATCAAGACCATTCAATAGACAGGTTAGTGTCTTACCTCCCACTGTGTTGCCTGAAATTGAAAGACAGATTTGTATTTAATGTCACATTTTGCTGCCTTTACTGTGGGTTTGGTTTGCATTCTGTTTTTGAAGTGTGGCTTAGTGGCTATGGACATTTTCCTATATAACCATGAAGAGATCTGCACTGTGCCATGAGTTAAACCTTCTGGCAGGCTTGTTCAGCGTTCTGCTTGCAGTGCTGTTTCACACATTTCTAGGATTTTGAAAAATTTCTAAATAATACTGTAGGCACCTAGCATCTTAAAGAGAATATTCTGGTTTATACCTTAGGACTAACTATGTTTTCCAAGAATCCAAAACATGTCATGGTTTCCATATGTTCCAGGTGTTTGTGCCTTTTGTACATAATGTTGACACTACATGGAAGCAGGACTTTTCATCTGTGTTTTTATGTAAATGGATTTTTATAGAGTGGTGTATGTTTTACTACCACAGTCTGATTTTATTTGTCTGTCTGTAGGAGAGATGGATCAAGGACAATGATGGGAGATCGAGATGGACAAGTGAGTTGCTTTATAAAGCTACAGAAACATCTTAACTTCTTATAGCCTAGTTTTCTATAGTGTGCATGAGATTAAATTTCAGTAGTTAAGAATTACATTTTACCTCCCAAAACATGTATCAGTAACCAGATGAAATTTAGTTCAAAGACTTGTTACTATAAAAGTTAGATATAGTTCTTCTGATACAAATCAAACAAAACAAGTGAATTGCGTCAAAAAGGTAGAATATTCCAAAAGATTGTATAGAAAAGGCAAAGGTACAAAGTATGTATAAAATTCACTCTACGAGGTTGCGTGGAAAGAACAGAAAAACTATCAGAGATGTTTGCATGTTTTTGAGAGCTGGGGGAAAGACATTCAGGACACATTCGGCCAGTGAGAAATTAATTTTGAGAAGTCAGCGAATCCTCAAGTGCCCTTTACTGATGGCTAAGCTGTGAGACTCAGAGGGCAGGATGGAGAAGTGGCCAGAGGGGAATATCATTAAGTTCAACAATGGGAAATGGGGAGTCCTGCTCCTGGGGAGCAATAACCCTGTGCGGCAGTCTATGCTTGAGACCAACCAGATGGAAAGCAGTTTTGCAGAGAAGGACCTTGGAGTCGTGGTGGACAAGCAGCTGACCATGAGCCAGCATTGCACCCTCCTGGCAAATAAGGTCAGTAGCATCCTGGGCTGCGTTAGGAAGAGTGTTGCCAGAAGGTCAAGGGAGGTGATCCTTCCTTTTTAATTGGCACCCATGTGACATACTGTGTTCAGTTCTGGGCTCCCCAGTACAAGAAAGAGAAGAACTTACTGGAGTTAAGTGCAGCCCAGGGCCACAAAGATGATTAAAGGCCTGGAGCTTCTTTGTATGAGGAGAGGCTGAGAGAGCTGGAACTGTTAAGTCTGGAGAAGAGAAGGCTCAGGAGTTAATATGCACTAACATCTCACAGGAGGGAAGGTATGGAGTAGATGGAGCCAGACTTTACTCAGTAATGCCCACTGTCAGGACAGAGTCAATAAGCACAAACAGAAACACATCACATTCCATCTGAAGACATAACAAATCACCTTCTTTCTTTCTTTTTTTTAAAAAAAAACAAAAAACAAAAAACACCAACAACAAAACAACCAAACAACAAACTGTGAAGGTGGTCAAACATTGGATCAGGTTGCATAGGGAAGTTGTGAAGTCTCCAGCTGTGAAGATACTCAAAACCCAAAGGGAGATTGTTCTGGACAGCGTGCCCTGGCTGACCCTGCTTGAGCAGAGGGGTTGCACTAGATGATCTGAGGAGGTCTCTTCCATCCTAAATGATTCTAAGATTGAGTAATTACAGCTGAGCATTTTTAAACAATTAAACAGTCTGTTTTGGGCAGTGCTGTACGTGTTCTTTGCGTTTTAGCATTATCCAGATGAGCGCCATGGAGGACCAGATCGTCATTCACGAGACTCTCGGGAAAGCTGGGGTAGCTATGGATCTGACAGAAGAATGAGCGAAAGTAGAGGGATACCCCCACAGTCACGGTTAGTATGCTTCACAGAAAATACTTTTTCTTGTGCATATAAGGAGCATTTCCATATGTGAAAGTGGGACACAATTTTTGGAAGTACGATTCCTTTTTTCCCCAACTTTCATCCGAGTCTGTTCTCTGTTGGATGGACTACAAATGAGTAGCTCTTTCAGCTTGCTGATGCATCTTAGCTTTTTTTTTTTTAATAAGTTTACATCTGAAAGTCTTCATGTTTTCAATTAATTTTACCTAACATTACTATCAAAGCTTGATATTTTCAGGGTAGTGGATCTTCCCCAGTTTGTAGTTGTTGGAAGCACCATCCTGTCAGCCCTTTGAAAGAAAAACAGTTCATAAAATGCTTACAGACTAGAGGTCTGTGTGTTGTGGTTTTGGTTTTTAATAAGTCCTATGAGGAAACCAGCCTACAGAAAACTCCAAAAATAAATAGACTGGTCAAAACAAAAAGCTAGGATATTCAGCGTAAACTGGGATATCAGTGTAGCATAAACCAGATTAAGGAAATGGTATTTTCTTCTTTGTCATGTTAGTTGGATTGGACAGAAGGCTTATTGCTGAGATTTGACTTAACAGATGGCAATATAAATACAAGATTTGCATGTACCTTGGTAAAGCATTTGAGCAAGTTTGTGACTTAGTTGTTTTACTTGAATCTATTTTGTGTGCTCTGGCTAATGTGAGAAGGTATGGATTTCATACTTTTGCAGGGATGGGCGTGACTGGGGAGATCACGGTCGAAAGTTTGAAGGACACCAAGATCGTTCATGGCAGAGCAGTGTGGAAGGAGGAATGATAGGACGGGATCATGAGAGATGGCAAGGTATGCTTCTTGCACGGCAGCTCATTAGTTGTGCTACGTAAAGCAGAAAATACAGGCATTATTATCCTTGGAGATGAAGTAAAACTATTCTGTGGATATAAAGGAAGCATTTGAACTCTTTTAGGTGGAGGTAGAGGCAGACCTGGACATGTGATGCATCGTGGAGGCATGTCAGGGTAAGAACTTTAAAAAGAGCAAAGTGTTTGTTTCCCTTCTGAGGGGCATCTCTTCTATTTAAATGGGCTAAAGAAACATTTTATGGGAGTGTTAGGTATCTGATTTGATATTTAAATGTCAAGGAATGATAAAGTATTCCCATGTTTTTATGTAGTGCATCTTATTGAAGAGTGAAACATGTTAAAACACCCATTGCATCAACCTGACTACCAGAGTCAGAAAAGAAAATTCAAATGTCTGAATCACTTTCTAGGCGTGGAGGTTTCATGCAAGGTGGCAACCAAAGTCAGATGATGCATGGAGGAGGAATGCAAGGAGAAGGATTTGCTGGCCAGGAGAGAGCAAACAGACCTAATGATCCTCGTTTCAACCGTCGCTACTGAATGTGTTTTAATCTTTAATGCAAGGTGGCAACCGAAATGAATCTCTTACCCAGGGTTACCATTAATTGTAACTTATGGGCTACTGTAAGTGTATTTTATTTTTTTTTTAAGCTGCTGCCATATTATGTCACTCAATCCAATGTGAACTCATTTGTTTTGTAACGTGTTGTTCATATCCCATTTAAAATGTTTGTTAATGAAGCATTCCATTTTCCATAAATAAAGCCAGTTTACAGTTAATTGCTTTACTTCAGCAGTCCTTGGAAAACTAATTTATTCAGCTATATGTTAAACCTTGTAACTTCTTTCAGAGATGAAGTATCAAAATGCCTTACAGGTGTCCCTTTGCCCTTTCAGTAGCACACAGCTCCCAGAAATACACAGAAATACCGTGTTACTTCAGACGTGTCAAAATTAACTAGCCTATGCGCCAGCATGAAAGAATGTTAGGATTGCAGTTGTCAAAGTTGGAACACCCTGCCACTGCAAAATTGACTTAGGATCCTGTAGGACAAGTGGTGAAGAATTTTTTTCATCTTGGCTCATGTTGGTAGGTACTGTGCAACGTAATACTCTTCACTCTCTGAAAAGGCCACATGCACAGCTTCTGTAAGAGAAAACGCACAGATAGTCGTGAAAGTAATGACTTTCAAGTGCAAGTCACAATCATTTTTGTTTAGCTTCTGATAGATCAGGGTAGTCTAAAGCTCCACCAATTTCAGGTTAATTTTACCTAGCAATCCATAATTGCCCTGAAGTAGATTAGAAATGGCCATTCGTTGTGCATGAGGACAAGTGAATCACTCCCACTAGATATAACCTATGGCTGCCCCTTTTATTGCATCTGGACCTTCTCTGCAGGAATTGCATGGAAATGTGAAGCTCTAGCACAAGTGACCTGTCCATTTGTAGCTTTAAGGAGAGCATCTTTCCTTGTCCTCAGCAGGTATGTAGCATCCCAAATGGGATTATGAGATTTCTCCTCCAGCCAGGGCAGACTATTTACAGCACCACACAGTCATTTATAAGCATGAGGAACATCTCCTGGTCTACTATTTAAGGAGTTTGGAGAAGTCGAAATAAAGTCATGCCTGTGACCCAGACCATTGCGTCAACAACCTATCTAAAGATTGATGCCAAAGAAATAGTGTTTTATGATCTGGGGAGACAATTAATCTAAGAACCTTTTTGAACACCATGGAGGAAAAAGAACAAGACGCCATCGATCAAACTGGAGCCTCTTATTATCTCATTACGTTTACTGCATCTGAAACTCATACTTAGTGTAGGATGAAGGCTTTTCCCACTGGGTTGTTAACTGAGCTGCACATCCCTCTGTTTCCGCCAGATGGCGACGCTGAGTACAGGCACGTTTCTGACCAGGTACGGCCGCTCACTCAAACCTCGACAACCAGTCGGTGGCGACGATACCGGCCCAGTCTTTGTTAAACTCTGCACAGTTCTTCTGCTTTGGCAGTTGTGGGTTTTTTTTTTTTGGTTTAGTTTGTTTTTCGCCTGGTGCAAAGATTTCTATGGGCTATCAAAAAAAAAAAAAAAAATCCACATAGCATAGGTGGAGACAAAGCTAAACAGCTGCCTTCTATTCCTCGATTCCAAATAAAATCAGGATAGAGACAATGTGACCCAACTTTAGCAGAGCCTTGGAATGTCCACTAACAGTGTAAGCAGGTTGCACCTGCTGTAATCAACTGCTGTGAAATGTAAAGCACACAGTAAAACATAAATATACTGATTAACTCAGGTTTGCATAGGGCTTTTTTTTTTTTCAGACACCAAATGTGAGCTCTGTGATTTTAAGAATTCTTCATTCATTGAACTTTTGCAGGCGAGAGTCCTCAAGCCAGCACCTGTGCTGCAGGCACAGCTGTTTTCAAACCTTAGAGGGAACTCTGCAAGAGAAGAATAGACTGGACCTTTGAGAACGCTAACTGGTCAAGTTGCATAAATGGTCTGCACCAGCTCCCAAGGCCAATTATCCTTTCCGCAACATGGGGAAAAAAAAAAGCTGCTTAAATGGGGTTAGTACAAGCTGCTTGCGCTTTTTTCTTCTTCTACTGTTTCTCTTCTTCTTCTCTTCTTCTTCTTCTCCTCTTCTCTTCTTTCCCTCATCTTGGAAGCAAAAACCTAAAAACTGGAAAGGACTGGATTTTTATGCAAAAATAGTATACAACTAGAAAATGCACTGGGCAGTTTTTAGACCTACCTGCTAATGCCAGCTCTTTCTGTGAGTAAGGTATTCCAGAACTGTTTGGCGTAGTGGCCACTCTGGCAGAATCCAGTCGTTGTAGTTTAGCCCAGACAGCAACTAAGCACCATGCAGCTGCTCACTCACTCCTCCCCCGCAGTGGGATGGGGAGGAGAAAACATACCAAAAGGCTTGAGGGTTGAGACAAGGACAGGGAGGGATCTCTCACCAATTATGGTCACGGCCAAAACAGACTTGGGTTTGGGGAAAAAATGAATTTAATTTGTTACCAATCAAATCAGAGAAAGATAATAAGGAAGAAAGCCACATCTTAAACACCTTCCCCCACTCCCTCCCTTCTTCCCAGGCTCAGCTTTGCTCCCAAATTCTCTACTTCCTCCTCCCCCCACAGTGCAGGGGGACAGGCAATGGGGGTTGTGGTTAGTTCATCGCACGTTGTTTCTACCGCTTCTTCCTCCTCAGGGGGAGGGCTCCTCATACTCTTCCCTTGCTCCAGCATGGGGTCCCTTCCCATGGGAGACTGTTCTCCATGAACTTCTCTGACATGAGTCCTTCCCATGGGCTGCAGTTCTTCATGAACTGCTTCAGCATAGGTGCCTCCCACAGGGTGCAGTCCTTCAGGAACAGATTGCTCCAGCATGGGCTTCCATGGCGTCACAGCCTTCTTTGAGTGCAGCCACCTGCTCTGACGTGGTGTCCTCCATGGGCTGCAAGTGGATCTCTTCTCCACTGTTGACTTCCGCAGGCTGCAGGGGAACAGCCTGCCATCTCACCATGGGCTGCAGAGCAATCTCTGCTCTGGTGCACCTCCTTCCCCTCCTTCTTCACTGATTTTGGTGTCTGCATAGTTGTTTCTCTCACATCCCACTTCTCTCCACTGCAGCCACGCTGGGCCCGGCCAGTCCAATGAACACTGGTGGCTCTAGAGGGACGAGTTCCGCCCAGCAGGCACTCTGGAAGCAGGGAGCTTTGGAGCACTCCAAGCCCTGCAGCCACTGCCTGACCTGCCCCACCAGGCAAGGGGCAGCAGCCCAGCACAGGCAGACACCCGTGTCCTCCCCCTTTCTCCACCTTCTCACTTTCTGCATTCTTTGAGATGTTCAAAACCTGGCTGGACATGGTCCTGGGCAACCTGGTCTAGCTGACCTTGATCGAGCGTGGAGGTTGAACTACATGATCTTCAGAGGTCTCCCTTCCAAGCTCAAAGATTCTGAGTTGCAGCACAGATGCTATTCTAACAAGTCAACTTCTGTACTGCCACTTTGTCTGCTCAGCAAAAGAATCTGATTAGCATCCTGTCTTACCTACAATTATTTCTATAGGCCACAAACTAGACTTGGCAAAACATTCAACTTAAATCCAGCAACTGTATGAATGGATCAGTCCCTTATTGAATGTACACCTTGTCACTGCAATGTAGTAAGAGAACAGATGTACTGGGTCCGATGAAAAAGTTGTTCCCACTCAGTATTCTTTCTCTTTTAGAGACGGATGCGTAAAGAAAAATATGTTAGAACAGGGTGCATGTAGAGGAATCATCAGGTGATAAACTCCCAGTGTCTGGCACTCCAAGGTTTACTGAGCTGTAGGTTCCATCTGGTCCATTAGCTTTAAGAGCCACTGATGGACCAACCCATCCTCCAGGAATTAACTTAAGTGCTTTTTAAAGCTATTTATACCTTAGCCAAATCCTCTGAAATCCCTTGGCAGTAAGTTTCATCATATAACTACTTGTTTAAAAAAGGGAAACAAAACCCATGCAAATCCTTCTTCCTTCTTGTGTTTTAAATCTGCTCCCTAATCTGAGTAAGCACTCATCCTACTCTTCCTACCTACCCCTGCCTGTTTTCTGTCCGGTAGCTGCGTCCTGGCTCATTCTGTACCTAACACAGACGAGAACAACATGACTGTGTCAGCAGATCCGTGTGGGAGAAATGCCGCCTCTGCTGCTTGCAGCCAGGACAATCTCTGTACTGAGTTTTGGAAGCACGAGCAGCAGCTCTGGGACAGACCTGAGGACAGAGAAGTTACAAGCTGTGTATTTACAATGACCCATCCAATACAGGCACAGATGCTTCCTGCGAAGCAGAAACAGGTTCACACTGATGCTACGCCATGTTATAATGACTTCTGCAACCTCATGCCACAATCCCATCATAAAGGGTTAAAAATACAGAATAAATCTGTAACTCCATCTTACAATACTGATGCCCTCTAGGCCATCGGTGGTCCTTACATACATATACCTTGGCTGCGAGTGAAAACCAACCTTGGGAAAGTTTTCATCAACATTACAACTAAAACACGAACTGGAGCATACTGCAAGCTAGCAAAATGTTTCACGCAGATATACTTTGCTCAATTACTCTCCCCATGCTTGTTTAATCATCCTAGTCTATGCATGCACATGTGCCAGCCCATTCATTTCTCTACTGTCATGTTACCATACCATACAGTTCCTGCAGACAACAGCTTCCTCCTACAGAAGTAAAATGGCCTACTGTGAAAAGTTTCACATCTGCCAGCATGTGGATGAAGACAGACACAGAGCAAGACTGAGCAACTCTATTTTAGATCTCAAGGAGTTAGAAGACACTGCCACTTTGAAGGTGAGTATCAGTGAAGGATTTCACTTCTCTACCTTGGACCAGCTTCAAAAGTGCCTGTAGGAAAGAGAGACTAAAGCACAGTGAAGGTGCTGAGATTCACAACTTCTTGTATACAATACTGCCGCTGAACTGTACGAGTCTGGCAAACCACCTGTCTATTGGTATAATTCCTCTTGCTTAAACTTTAACTTAGATCAACTATGATTCACTATGACTTAGATTAATTATGATTCAGGAAAAAAAATTACTAGCTATCACCCAGACGTGTTCCATCATCAGTGGGTATGTACCGAAGGGCAGCTCCAAAGGTCTATGACATCGCTTGAAATGTGCAGACACATACCCTCAAGACCCAACAGGTCCAAGCTATGCAACTCCCAGACTCCCTCTGGAGTCCAGCCTGCAGAGAATTGGCCTTTAATGTGTCTTTTTTTGTCCTCTGGACATGCTGGTGGATTGTGCCTCTGACAATCCTCACTTTGGCAGCAACTGGTACCGTCTTCCTTTTTGCAAGAACCTTTCAGAGCAGCAAAGTTAATACGACTGCAGATAACTGATTAGCTGCTTCTGTTTCCTGCCTTTTCATGTCCTGGACGTAGCTGGAGAGGTTAAAAAGTAATATGCACTAACAGCAGATGTAGTTTATGGCCTGAAACCAAACTAAACAGCTCACAATGCAGAGAATGCCACAGTGTTGTAGGAGCTGTGGAAATTGCTTCCCAGCTACTTCGTTAATGCTTTGAGGGGGACAAATGACAGGACTAAACACATACATCCAGTATTTTGTAATTAATTACTGTAGATGTCCTGCTAATGAGCTACTTTGACTTCTAAACTTGCCATGCTACATCCTCCATCCCTAGAAACACCACTGTGATAAAACGTCTCTTTAGCTCTTAGAAAAACCTTCATCGCTGCCTGCATGTATCCATTAGTATTTCCACCACAAGAACAAAATGTTAGTACCTAACCCATCATGATATAGACATTCATTTTGCTCACATGAAAAAAAATTCTCAGAAAACTGATGGCAGGAATGAGTTGCCAGGAATCCACTTTCTGCTCAAGCCTTAATTTAACTCAAGCCTTAATTTAACTCTACGTTGCACACTTCTCTTCTACCAAAAAAGTGTTGACTGCCTCTTCTACAGAGGTCTACCACCAGCAAACAATTTTCCTACTGCTAACTCTGGTTCTTCTCCATATGTCCCTGATACACCATAACATGTTCATGATGGTCTCTGCCAGAGTCAAATTCACCCTGATTCTTGTGTTGATTTGACAGCTAGTTGTTACTTTCAGCATCTTCTGGACCTACTTAGAATCATAGAATGGTTAGGGCTGGAAGGGACCTTCAGAGGTCATCTAGTCCAACCCCCCTGCAAGGAACAGGGATATCTCCAACTAGATCAGGTTGCTCAGGGCCTCGTCCAACCTGGCCTTGAACGTCTCCAGGGATGGAGCATCCACCACCTCTCTGGGCAACCTGTTCCAGTGTTCTGCAACTCTCATGGTAAAAAATTTTTTCCTAATATCCAACCTGAATCTACCTCCCTCCATTTTAAAACCATTACCCCTTGTCCTATCACAGCTGGCCCTCCTGAACAGCCTCTCCCCATCTTTCCTGTAGGCCCCCTTGAGGTACTGGAAGACCGCTATAAGGTCACCCCGGAGCCTCCTCCTCTCCAGGCTGAACAGCCCCAACTCTTTCAGCCTGTCCTCATAGGAAAGGTGCTCCAGCCCTACTTATATTTTGGCAGGGCACTGAGAAGTGCACTGTAATCTTTGTTCCTCCTCCTCTTCAGAGGAGCTATCAGCCTTCTGTGGAAGAAGAGATGGATAGCAAGAGAAAAGTCTTGCTTTCCAGGAACCTCCCTTCCCATCTCCCATTTTGTATTGCTTCTTAACAACCAACAAGGTTTCTGTTTTGGTTTTTTTTTGAAAAAAAAAAAAATCTGTTTTTATTCAAGCAAAAACTAGGGAGAAAGCCTGATAGGAAAATACAACTTAAGGTCTCTAGGCATTCAAACAATAAGGAAATGAAAACACATCCACACAGATTGTGGAGTTATTCAGTGGCCAGCTCTGAGTTTAGCTCACCTTCACGTATTTGTTCATAGCTCAGCTGCAGAATAGCACTGTTCCCTTGCAAAGAACTTGTAATTCACAAAGACACAGCTGCAGTCAACAGGCTCTGTTCCTGAAGTACCTCTGCCTAATTCTTCACGGGGGCACTAGGTTTAGATGAAGTAGGAAAACCCTCAGCCTCATTCTCCCTGCCATGGGGACTCTGCTGTGATTGGAGACACTTCCCGTTTCCATTTTCTCTCTTGCTCAGTTGCCAAAAGCTTCACACAGAGGTGCCAGTATCTTAAAGATACTTCTAGCCCTATTTTACAGGCATTTAAAGAAGCCAGCAGACAGAATTATTTTTTCAAGTCAAGAGACAAACCGAATCCACTTAGTTTTAGCCAACAGCTGGTAAAATTTAAAATCTAAACCCTTGCCTCCAAATAACACATGCTGCGGAGCTGAGAATTCAGATACAGATGTAAATTTGACAGTGCCATTGGTCACTGACTATGCATCCAAGGGCATATTTGGATCAGTTGCTGGCAAAGTTACAGTTAAACAGTACTGTGATTTTGCTGTTCAAGCTCAGGGACTGGGAACACTGGAAATGCGCATGGCCCGAATAGACTGGGGGGGGTGTTAAAAGTTTTCTATGACTTGCCAGAGTTTTGCATCAAAGACTCATAAACTCCCTTCTATTGCACACTGTCACCGCCAACAAATATTCCAACTAGTACTGGCTACTCCCAGTTGTCTAACAAGTCACAGACCACCTGGAAGCAGCTTTCACATCAATAATGTGCTCTTTGTCTGACAAAGACACTCCTTCCTCAGCTAGCTTGAAAATAAGTGCTTTGTCTTCAAACAACATCTTTTACTGTTACCTTGGATTCATTTTTTTTTAAACTCTTGTTGGCTTGTTTTGAATTAGAAGGCATTCACCTTCAAGATTAATTCAGCTTCAGAATAATCTGTTTAGCTAGCAAGCCTGGCAGCTTTACAACAGGGGCTATACCTCAGCACATGGCCATCACTTGATTACAATTGATCCATGATCTCTGCTTAAGCCTCTGATCATTGGTAAGACAGAAACCAATTCTTGCAGTCTGTATGCTAAAACCAACCCAAATACAAATGGAACTTCCAAAGTCTTTTATTGTAGCCCTTGCATGGCTGAGCTGCCCTCTAGAGCGATGGACTATGCATCGTCCCAAAGACAACATAGAATGGAGAGAAGGATGAACCCTGGAGAACATGTTCATTTGACAAGATCCTTCACATACTTCCAGCCTTCCGCAGTGTATTCACAGGCCCTGGTGGGAGCTACAGATAAGGCAGACATGACTGTCTGCACTCCTGCAAGGAAAGCAGAGAAGAATTATCCCAAGAAGAACATAATTCAGGCCAAATTTTCTAATGTTATTCTAGCATTGTAGATCTCTTTAAATACGGAGAGAAAAACCTAGCTGTGTCTCAGAAGCTTTCAAACACGCTGAGGCCTGAATGATCCTTGGTTCAAATACAGCTTTATTGTCTCTGTAGCATTTGTGACACAGAGAAATTCCAACTCCAGGACCAGTATAAGGAATAGACAATTACAAGACTGAAAGAAAGAACTGAGCTAAGTTGCATTTTATTTCTGGCCTTGCCACAGACTCCATGGGTGATATTGGACATGTCACAACATTTGGGGACTGTGTTTTCCCACGGTTACAGTAAGACTTTTTGCTGCAATGTAAAAAACTATAAATTAACTTACTAGGTATTTATAACATGCTTTGGCCTTCAAGCAAGATCTCCAAATTCTAGTAATAATGGGAATACTCATCCCTTCTGAAAAGTCAGAGGCTAAGTTCAGACATACTAGCATCTGAAGAGTTTATAAACTCTTCAATCTTTAACCAAAGGTTCATCTTTCTTCAGAATAAGTCATCATTCATTTTTATGCTCTAGTTTCCCTGATCACTACCAGTGCTGATGAACTCAATGGTGCATAAACTGTATTTATTGTGGGGGCCACAGGCCTCCCCAAACACTTCCCTGGAACATTCAATCTCAGATTCTAGGATAGCACAGGCATGCCTGTCTTGGGGCACAGGTAGGCAGCAAGCTTTGCAGGTAAAAGAAACACCAGCTCCTCTGGTTAGAAAAGGCAGACAGGTTCATGGGCACACATCCTCCTCCTTATTTCATCATTGGAACAACAAGAAATTAAGTCCAAAGTCACTCAGTGTGATAGTAAAACTTGAAGCAGAATAGTCCTCCCACACCCAATGATCCTTCCACCAGACTGTAACATCTATCATCTCCTTCTCCATCATTCAATTTAGCAGGACAGTATTGAAACAAGACTGGTATAAGCTACATCACTCTGGGTCCCTTGCTCCTTTCACAGTTTGGTGAGAGTTATTTTACCTTTATTCCAGGAATCAGAGGGGGAAAAGTCAAATTTTGGAGTGGGTGGGAGCTAGAAAGAGAAAGAGAGACAAAATATCAGCACTTGAGGGGTTTCACTTATAACAGGATTCACATCACCTTGGAGAAGCCTCTTGACCTCAAATCTCAAAGATACTAAGGTACCTACTTTTCGTAAATCTCAAAAGAGATCAGACATGAGGCTTAAAGTCTGCACTTTGCTCTTTCCCTCCATACAAAGTAGGGGCAGAAGGTAGTACTTATCATTTGGGTGCTCCTGAAAAATCATCTCCATGGCTGTCTCCTTACAGTTATCTATTAGTTTAGAATAGTCTCTAATATGAAAAATGCTTTTCAGATTTTCAGCAAAGGCTTCTCCTATTCTGAGGATTTTAAAAACTAAGAATTACTCAAAGAGAAGGGCCTCTTCAGGCAATTTAAATTCAAATTGATGAAATGTTAGCAGCTTGAGAAATTGGGAGGAGAATCTCTTCATTCATTTTTCAAAATTATGCAGGATCTTTCAAAAGAAGCTTAGGAGTACCGCTACATAGTGAAATATCTCCCAGAGCATGCTTGCAATCCCCTCCTTGACCCTGCATAGGCTAGTTACCCCTTCTCCTTTGAAATAACATCTGTGAGCAATGTCTCTCCCCCAGATTTAAAATTTTATCCTCCTTCCATTTCAATCCTCTTCAAAATACTCTGAAGGTGAAATCCAGTTTCAACAGCGAAACTCTTTCCAGCATCAGTGGAACCAGAATATCACCCCAATGTTTTCTCCTGCTCATTGAGCGCATGTGTTTGTTTTGCTGACTGTGTTCATCTGCACAGTCCTTACCTCCCAGCCTATGTAACTCGTCCACTCTTGGATAGCTGGAGGCAGTGCTGCTTGAGCCTTCTTGAGGGCTTCAGCACCTTGTGTGCCACTGCCTAGCAGCCCCTGATCATATGCCACGTATACGGCAGCTCCAGCCAGGCTTCCTTTGATGACAAACCTGAAAGAATGAAACGCAGCGACAGTTCAGTTCACATTGTGACTATCAATGCATCTCTCTCGGTAGGCTGTGACTGTCAACGGGAAGGTATTAATAAAGAAATCTGAGTGTCACAAATACTCTACTGTAATGTCTTACGACAGACAAAAAGCAGCAGAAAAACATGTAACTATCTTACTTTTCTTCCTAGGCCAACTATTCTCTGTCAGCCCCTTGAAAACATACCCATTCATATTTCATCAGTGATAGTTTTCAAGAAAAAAAATAAGAAAGGGTCAAACACCTCAGAGTATGTGCCACTTTTTAAAGTCTGAGAATCACTGGCATACACCTTTGATAAAACAAACTAAAGGATTTTGCAGTGGGTAAGACAACCATGTTAATGATGTAGTTCTTGCTGTCTTGTTAATAAGTAATCTGATTAATTTGACAGACACCAATATCTTGTGAAGCTCATTACAGTCCAGTTAACGCCTGGCCATGCCTGTCCCTGCATTGCCTAAGCTTTTAAAGTTTCTTGGTTGACGGCGCAGTAGGCAAACACTAGTTTTACAGCTGTAGTGGCAACTTGCAAAATGGAAGACAGGACAAGGGTATTTAACTTTTATTTAATTTTTCATTAGAGATAAGACATCTGGAGAGACTGACTTTTTCAAATTTACAAGGCAAAGAGTTGTTTCCCCTTTAAAAAACCCCACGAAGCTATCGTACACCTAGGGAGAAAAAAAAAAAAAACCCAAAAAAACCACACAAATCCAACAAACGA